GCCTGACCTAGATTGCTCTTCACTCCTCTTGAAGCTGAGCCACTGTTCCTTGCATTTAATATTCACATAATCATAGAAAATTAGGAGTGGAAGGGACCTCAGGAGATCATCTAGTCCGGGGTTGTCAAAGTTTTTCTGCCGTGGCCCACCAAACTGCAGCCCAGCAGTCACAGCCGACCGCAGCCAGAATTTCCAGCCAAAAGACAGGTAAGGATACCCCCCACCCCGCAGGAAGGGGTGTGGGCAAAACCCTGCGCTGCTGCAGACCCTGCAGAAGGAGCCGCGGCCTCTCCACCCGACTCTGGGGGACCGCAGTTTGCCGGTTTGTGGCCACTTCTGGTCTGGCAGCCGACTGTGCTGTGGACTGGCAGCTGACCTGCCATGGCCCAGGGATTGAGAACCCCTGATCTAGTCCAACCCCAGCCAAGGCTTTTTGTAGTTGGGTCTTTAAAACCTCCAAGGACAGAGATTCCACAACCTCTCTAGGTAACCTATTCCAGTGCTTTAGCACCCTCCTATTGAGAGTTTTTCCTATTATCTAACCTAAACTTCCCTTGATGCAACTTGAGACCATTGCTCCTTGTTCTGGTACCCACCACCACTGAGAACAGCATAGCTCCATCCTCTTTGGAGCTCCCCTTCAGGTAGTTGAAGGCTGCTATTATATCCCCTCTCAGTCTTCTCTAGACTAAGTAAGCCCAGTTCCCTCAGCCTGTCCTCATAAGCCATGTGCCCCAGGACCCCTAACCATTTCTGTTGCCCTCCACTGGACTCTCTCCAATTTGTCTACATCCTTTCTGTAACAGGGGGCCCAAAACTGGACACAGTACAGGTGATCCTTGCCATTCGTGGGGGATACATTCTCATATCCCCTGTGAATGGTGAAATCGCTGAATAAGGCCATCTGCGTTCATGAACTCGGTGCCCCCGATGGGTGGTGGGGTGGGTGGGCACGGCTGTATTGGTGACAGTGGGAGCCTGGCGGCAGCGGCAGGACTGCAGCGCTGGCAGCAGGAGCCTGGTGGCAGGAAGCGCGGAGCTCCCAGCAACTCCTTTAAGTGTATTTAAGAAGTGGGTTCAGCATTCACGAATATTTGGAACTGTGAATGCCGAACCTGTGAATAGTGAGGGTTTCCTGTACTCCAGATATGGCCTCCCCAGTGCCAAATCAAGGGGAATAATTACTTCCCTCAATCTGTTGGCAATGCTCCTACAAATGCAGCCCAGGATGCCATTAGCCTTCTTAGCAGCAAGGGCACACTGTTGGCATATATTTGTCTTATTGTCCACTGTAACCCACAGGTCCTTTTCCGCAGAGCTGCTGCCCAGCCAGTCAGCCCCCAGACTGTCCCGGTGCATGGGATTGTTGTATCTCAAGTGCAGGACTTTGCACTTGTCCTTGTTGAACCTCATGAGATTTCTTGTGTTCCAGTCCTCCAATTTGTTGAGGTGGCTTTTATGAATTTATGACTCTCTGAGTCATAGCCCTACCCTCCAGTGTATCTACAACTTACCCCAGCTTTATGTCATCTGCAAAGTTGCTGGGAGTGCACTCCATCTCATCTTCCAGGTCATTGATGAACATATTAAACAAAAATGGCCCCAAGACCAACCCCTGGGACACTACACTTGATACCAGCTGCCAACTAGACATCGAGCCATTGATTACTACCCTTTGAGCTTGACAATCCAGCCAGTTTTCTATCCACTTTATAATCCATTCATCTAACCCATACTTCCTTAGCTTGCTTGCGAGAATGTTGAGAGAGACCATAATATTCAATGATTAGAATCAGGGGAGAATAGTGAAGAAGTCTCTGCTGCATTGGGAGCAAGGACCCAGGCTACAACTCATCTCACTGAGCCACCCACCCTCTGCCTTGTTCTCTTCTTCCTCACCTTCTCTTGGCTGGGAAGCAGCTTCAACCCCCTTCTGCTTGAGAAAGTACCTAGAACTAGGGTTATCTACCTCATGAACAAATGGCCTAACTGCTAGTCCAAGGGTGTCAAACTCATTCAGCCCTGTGGGCTGGCCGAGGGGCACAGGACTGATCTTCGGGCTGCATCAGACCCACAGTCTGGCCCTATACATTAGAGCCAATATGTAGGGCCGGTCTGGCAAGAGCAGTTCATGCAGCATGTGCCCCAGGCTGTCCCCCTGTGCTACATGCAGCATGCGTGCTCAGTCCTGTCCCACACACCACATGCAGAACCTGCCAGCTGCAGTCTGGGGTTTGCACTGCACGTAGTGTATGGGGGTATGTGGGGCCTATGCTGCATGTGGTGCCCACGCTGGACCAGCCTTGCCTGATAGCTCTAGTGCACAAGGATGATTTGCGGGCCTGATACAGCCCTAGAGCCAATGCTCAGGGTTGGTCTGGCACAGGTGTTGCATGCAGCCTGTGCCAGAGCAGCTCCATGTGCTGAGCCAGGGCCAGAATCTGCCATGTGTGGTGTCTGGGGTGGTCCAAGACCTATAGACTGGAACCTAGGGCTCCACAGGCCAGATCCTGTCTGCGGACCTTAGGTTTCACTCCCCTGCACTAGTCTACTGAGCTAAACCAGGGAAGGGCCTCTTCCTCCACCATCTAATACTCATGAGTATGGGATTTTGCCTGGCTACAATTTTGGAAATCTGACCTTACACACCTATCTGTTCAAGTGTACATTGCCACATACCTGCCTCCATAGAGTACAGCCCTACTGAGCATACTTGGTGGGCATGTGTGCACTTGCAAGCCAGAGCTGACTCCCAAGCTGTGTATGCCAAAAACTGCAGATATGCAGCTGTCCTGCTTGGGTGCATGAATTGAAATAGGACTTAGTTCAAGTGTCTGTAAAAAACCCTTCCCTTCAATCATGAATCAGACTCGCCCACATCTCACGTTTTTCTTATACTGATGACCTATTACACAATTATCCATTTGGGAGGGAAGGGGGTTATTTGCTTTCTGGTTTTAAGATTTCACATTTCCAGGCTCTTCCCCACACTTAACAGGTGGGAGCTTTCTTCTAAAACATGACCAAAAGCTGCAGCTCTCATGACTCCAGGATATAGGACCTGAGGAACAGGACCAAACATAGTAAGATATTTGATAAGATCTCAGTGACTAGCAACACTGCCTCTGCGTGGGCTCAAGGTGCAGAGTAGTAGGCCTGGGCACAAAACTGTTTTATTCTTCCTCTGTTTAGGTAGTTACTGGGTGTGTCTACATGTGCAAATGCTCCAGGATGGCTTTACTCTAGAGCAAATTATTCTAGAGTAAACCCACCCCGGGCACACATGCAGGGAAGCGGGAACAGATTTGCTGCTCATGGCAGCAGTCTGTTCCTGCCCCTGCCGGCCCTAGGCTCCCCCTGGGTGCTAGCCCAGGGGTTGGCAGGGAGCATGGGGCCAGGAGACAGCAGTCTCCTGGCAAGAGCTGGGGCATTGCTCCCTGCCGGTGGGAACTGCCTGCTGCTGGGGTGAGCTCCACCACCACAGCCCAGGCAAGGATAATGTTCTTCTGCCCTAGCAGCAGGGAGCTCCTAGCCCCTGCTCCCCTGATAAGTACTTCCCACCCCTGAAACTGCAGGGTGGGGCTGGGAAATAAGAATCTCCCTGATTCCAATCACAATCATGGGGACTGGGAGCTCCCTGCTGCCAGAGCAGAGGGACATTGTCCCTGCCCAGGCTCAGGTGGTGAAGCCTGCCCTGACAGCAGGCAGCTCCTGGGGGCAGGAAGCAATCTCTCACCCCCTGGTGACCGGGAGCACATTTACACCCTCATATGCATTACTGTCCAGTAAGTAATCGGAAATAAATTTGCTACTTGTATTTACAGGTAGCAGATGTACTCATGATTAGGGCAAATTACTGCGCAGTAAGCATCTGCACATATAGATAGTGATGCTTACTGCGCAGTAATTAGCTTTAATCTTGAGTAAAGCTTCTTGTCTCCAAGTGCCAGAGACCATAGCATCAAGGGAAACAATTCTTGACTTACAGGCGGGTGCTTAGACCACTATAAAATATGTCAATAATAATAACAACAAGAAGAAAGCAAGAAGAATGGGTAGAGAATTAGGCCTAGATTCCCCCCCCGATTGCACCACTTTTAGTTCAGTATAACTCCAGATTTCCAGGGAGTCACAGTGGCATAAAACTGGTGTGACCCAATAGGAAACCCAGGTATCTTTGGTCCCATTCACCCTTCAGACTTACTGCACTCGCTCGGCTGGCGCGGAGAGGCCAGATTAGATCAGCCTTCTCCTATGTGTTCTGAAAAGTGCAGTGCACTGTCAAAATAACATCCCTGCATTATCATTTTTAGCCGTGACCAAGACACCACTACTGCTAATAATGGCATTCTTAAAGTGAACCTGGGCTCGGGAAAGCGTGTCCTCTTTCCAGCTCATGTAGCTAGTCTGTGAAGGTGCATATCTACCCCGCCTTCCTCCTTCAGAGAAATCATTCATCTGCCCCATCCGAAGTTGCCCCTGATGTGCCAAGAGCTATTTCCCTCGCGGCTAGAAAGCCGCAAGCTGTGGAAATAAAGATTTGCAGCAAGGGCAGGTCCTTCCCGGGCCCTGATTGGATCCGGCTGGCGGTGAGCTCACGGCGGAGGCCGGGCCCAAGGCGAGGGAGGGCTGGTTTGCGACACTGCCTGGGAGGCTATTAACCGGGCGAGGGGCGGGGCCTGGGGTAGCCGGTACCCGTGGTCGTTTCCCCGGCGGCGGAGGTAAGCCCCGGCGATGGAACGTTCGGCTTCCGAGCGTTCCCTCCCGCGGCGCCGGGGGCGATCGCTGCGCGCCGCGCGCCGGGGCGGTTTGGGCACCAGCGGCTTTGTGCGCCGCCCGGGGCTGTTTTGCTCCGCGGTTTCTCTGCGGCTTTCCCCCTCCGCGCTACATCGAGCTGGATGGGTGGGGGCCGGAGGGGGAGGGCTCAGTGCCCGGCTCTCTTCCTTCTTCCTCGGCTCGGGCCACTGCAGCTGCTGCTGCAGATCTGCGGGTAGCAAGGAGTTATCCCTGGGAGGGCGGGGAGGGACGCAGAGCCCTCGTCTGAGTCCGGAGGAAACAAGTGGGACCCGACCCAAAGTTTGGGAGCCGAGGCGGCTTGGTTTGAAAGAGGCGGCGGATGGGAGCCGCAGGTCCATGCCGGAATTGCTCCTAACAGCAAGTTCTGCTGCTGCTGCTGATTATTATTATTATTATTATTCAAATCCCCCCCTCCGAAGCGAGCTGTGTGGAGCTGCAAGAAGACCCCGTGCTGCGGGTCCTGGTGGCCGGGGCTCCTCGGAGCTCCCCGCGGGCGCCGGGGCTGGGCTGCCGGAGAAAAGAGCCTTTGTGGGGGGGGCTTTGCCGTGGTCCGCTGTAATTAGCAGGCCTGATTAGTTCCATTAGGAGACATCAAAGCAGCCTGAACGAGCCTCCCGGTCCTGGGTCTGACCGCAGCTTCTGCTTCATCTCACTCCTGTTTCTTTCTAGCAGCAGCCTCTGATCATGAAGAAGAAAGCGAAGGCTTGGAGGGGAGGCTCGGCTGCCTGGCTCTGAGCCACAAGTTGTGTGCGGCGCCCGATGCTAGGAGATGCGTTTTCCATAAATAACTGGCTCGCACTTACTGTGCCATGGGCTTAAAGCCTCTTGAGAGAGGGATGACTTGGTTTTGAGAGAATCTCTCTCTGAGCGAGTGACAAAACTGACCTTTAGATAAAAATGGAGGACTTTACGACCAGGACCTACGGGACCAGCGGGCTGGACAACAGACCTCTCTTTGGAGAAACTTCAGCAAGGGTAAGCTGGGAGTCTTGGTGCTCTCCAAAATCTCTCCATCTAGTGCTGGCTGATAAAAGGGTGGCTTTCTTACTCTGATCTAGAGTGAATCGGTGATCTGTAGAGCCTGTATTTTGGGTGTTATCAGGACTGTGAAAAACTTAGCTTATTTTTTATTTCTTACACACACACACACACACACACACACACACACACACACACACACACACAGCTTTCTTTCATATAATATATGAGTTTTTCACAGTCCCGAAGCCTAGACTTTAACACAAACACCAAAGAATCATGAGAATTGACCGCACTGTTATTAAGTTCACTAAGTACCTTTAGTCTGTGAGGAGCCACTGAAGGTAGGCTCTGTTTTATGAGACGTTAACCTGCTTTGACAGGGAGGATATTACTTTTACACCCATAGCATTACCTGTATCTCTTTAATGCTGGGGGCTAAGAAGGAGACCGTTTGAGCCAAGAGAACGGTTGTCGCTGGACTTGTTCAAAGAACCTTTCTAGGGTCCCGTGCACGGGGGTGTGATGCATGGCTCTCAAAGAGTCTTCTTGCAGATTTAATGGTGTGATTTGTGTAATGTGAACTTGTCTTTCTCAACTGCATATGCTTAGCACATGGTATCAGTTGCTGATCATGTTGTTGAATCTTCTAATAATGAACTCTTTTGTGCAGAGTGGTTATCACACATTTATTTTCCTGGGCAAATTACTTTAGAATCCTCTGGGTTTTCATGGGATTTTGTTCGGGTGGTAGTTCCCAAGAGACTGGGAACAGGGTGTGTAATTCTTGATGTTAGGAGTATTTCATCCCGAGCTACTTGCTCTTGCTTTCTGTCTCTCTTGTTTCACCACCTGTAAAATAGTGATAATGTCTGTTACAGAGCAATGTTGAGAATTTAGTTGAAGAATAGTTATTTGTTAAGCATTTTGAACCTGAACAGCGCTATGCAAATGTTTAGATGTAATTTTAGATCTGTTGTAGGCAAATAGAGGAACTGCTTTCTGTAAGAATACTGGTACTGTTCCTAGTTAAATATGTTGTGTGCTCTGAGATGGTTGGGTTCCTTTTTACTGGGTTAAATGCTGTATTTCTCAAAATGCAGAATCGGGTCAATTAGACTATTTGCAAATTAGTGCAGAACTGCTCAAAATCTTAAAAATAGAAAGGCCCTGCAAAAATGAAATGCCTTTGCTTTGAAAATATCAAGATCGAAGTGTTTCTAATTGCATAATGAAATCTCTTTGAAATTTCATTTGAAGAAAGAGAGAGGAAATATGTATTTAAAGACTGCAGATCAAACTTTTTTTGTGTTTGTTTTTCTTTTGCCATTGAACTGGAAAAGCATCTGTTGGCACAGACCTGCTCCCAGATCTAGAAGGATGTTTACACTAAAAGATGTAACAGCGTGTATAAATGTGCTGGGGTGGAGTCTCTTTTGAAATATATACATAAAATAAAAGTTTCTTTCCTGTGTTCACAGAATGGGTATGTCTTGGGATAAAAGGGATCAGAGGCGTTTAGCTTGTAAAATGGAATCTTCCTCCGATTGTATTGTCCAACAGCTTTCTCCCTCCACGTATTAGAGACTATTAACCTATACGGATCATGGCCTGTTAAACATCCAATTAAATGGATTATAGTGCATACAGTTCACCTAAAGGTAACAAAAAATAAAGCTGCATTTTAAATGCGTGAAGGATTCGGAAGGATCCATTGCTTATGACTCTAGCCACAACTAAGCAGAACACAGCCAAAGACGTGGCCTGAGACAACGGGGAGAGAGTAAGTGCGCGTCAGCCATTGAGTACAGGTGCTTTCTTCTGCACCTGTCAAATGGCTCTGTCACAACAGCCACCTCTAGGTAGTCCTAATCCTCTTTCCCCCTGTCCCCTGCAGAAGTGTCAGTGCAGAGGGCAGTGCAAGTTTGGGGCCTACAACTGGCTGCAGACTGCAGGCCTGACCTTCAGGATTTCTGCACACTGAAATCAGGGCTGGCTGCGGGTATCTGCACCTCTGAAAGATGGAGTCTCCATCTCTCTCTCGCATCTACTGCTCTGTTGCTGAACCTGCCATCTGTTGAGCTCCTTTCATCACCTGCTCCTCCCCTTTATTTGTTCTCTCTAGTGCTTGGAACAGCCCCTGTACCTTACTGTAGTGTAGTTGTCTGGTGTGGATTGTAAGCTTTTTGGTGGGACAGTGGCTTGTCTCTGAAGTATCTTTTGTACCATGGTGTGCTGCCTCCAATAGGCTGGACTGTACCATAGGCCCTACACAGCCTACTTCCCTTCTTTTTGTAGCATAAATCATATAGACTTGTGCTTCCTGGAGCAGAAGGGAAGTTCTGTTTCTGTTGGATGGCCATGGTGTGCACATTGTGACACCTGTGAGCTCTAGGATAGCTATGGATCTGCCAAACCAAGCCAGAGCTCTGCCTGAGCCTAATGGCAAATCAGACTAGTGCATTTAAGAGACACCAGCATGCATAATGAACAGCACACAAGGAGCTGATGTGGCTAGGCAGGCAGGTACCCATTTACAGCTAGATCATGTGGGGGAAGCCCTTTAGCATGAGTCTGGAGTAGGGTTCAAGAAGGCACCTTCACCACCATGTTTTAGCGCCTCTTCAAAATGTACCTATTGACTGACTTTTCTCTGAAAACAACTAATGCTTTTCCTGGAGCTTTCTCTATTCTGTCATTGTTACATGGACAAATCAAGAAGGCTCAGTTTAGCTGCTCCAAATGGGGTAGGTGGGTAGCGAATATCTGTGAAATGGAGAAGGAAAGGATTGAAGGTAAAGGTCTTTGCTTTGTTGGATGACGAAAGCCAGCAGAGAAGATTTTGCCACAAATCGCTGTTCATAACTTTGCCCAAACTTTCAAGTTCTGATACTACAAGTCAGGCCATACTGAAAACACCCTTCCTACCAGGGGCGCATCAGGGCACCGGACTTAGCTCTCATGGAAGACCCCAACCCTGCAACAAACTCCCTTGGGGGTGGTTTCAACTCTTCACACCCCATTACAGTATATGGTTTCCTGGCACTTATTTTAAGCATGTATGTTGGGCTTGTCGACTTCAGCATCTAATGTACTTTGTACTCTTGGCTTTAAGTTGGGGATGACAACTGATCTGGTTGAACATACCGGGGTGTTTGCCTCTCTTGGACTTCATGTATCAAATTTATAAAGAGAAAAATCTGAGTGGGATTCAGCTTTGAGTCCAAATAACTGTCTGGTAACTACATACACAAATGCACTTGGCCTAGCAACGTTAGGATTCTGGTGGCTTTGTACTAGAAGGAAGGAAGAGCCACTTAAAGGGCTTCCACACTATTTATAGGGATAAACTTTTATATTCCTGTCAGAGGCATAACAAGTGGCTTTGTATCTTGTGCAGCAGCAGCCAGCCTTTACCCCCTCTCAGATGGTGCCTGGGGCTGGTGCCTGTTTGTCTACCCTACTGATTCTTGTTTATCTCAGCCTCTCATCTGACAGCTTGATGGTGATGGTGTCCTGCAAAACTCTTCTAGTGGGAACTGTGAAAAGGCCATAAGGTAGATCTTGGACAGGACACGCACCCTGCTAGCTGCTGCTACTTTGGCCTGAAATCTGGTGATTATCGTAAGTGAGTGGTGCTCATCCTTTCCTGAGCATGCCTTCTCTCCCAGACTTGCCAAGGGTATATGTGCCTCATGTCTCTGGCAGCATACCTGTATATTCCTTGCATGGCAGGTACCAGAGCTTTTATTGAAGTCCTGTGGGATCTTTGAAGCCTGGTGGGAGTCTCATAAAACCAAGCTGTGTTCCAGTAATGCTTACTTTGGACTTGGCTGGTGTTCATGACAAAATGGCCAGGTTTAAATTATGGCATTGAACTTGTACTTTCAGCTCTTACTATTTAATTACAGGTCCATCATCTGGCACATAGATGAAAAACTGTACTTGGCAGCCACTTATCCATTGGCTGGAGTTTCCAAGCTTTTGACCCCTTCTGGCACACATCTACCTTGACCTGGATTTCTGTGCGTTTACCTCATTTTACCCCATTCCTTTTTCCTATTCAGTTAGTGTGCAGGATTGCAGGGAAGCCTGTGTTTCTTCCTGACAGTTGTAGTGTCCATTGCAATGGTAACAGTATTTGGAGGGTTGCTGGAAGGGGGTGAGATGCAGCACTTGGACATTGCAAAGCAATCTACATTTCTTGTTGTCATCGTGGATCTGGGCTCTGAGATGATGTAGGAATGGGGCTGAGTGAAGAGCATGTTGCCTGACAACTATGCTGTGTACTGCCTCACGCTGGCTGACAATTGATCAGTGACTGGTGGGATTTTTTTCGGATGAACTTCTTGCAAAGGAGGAGAGATGAGGGATAGAATTGTTTGGTGAAAAATTCTCTTGCAGGTCTCTGTGGGCTAGAGATATTGGGAATAACTAGGGTTCGTTATACAAAAGGCCTGTAATGAATGTTATTCATTATCGAGCTGAAATCTGTTTACAAAAAAGAGATGGTCTGCCCTGGGTTCTGGATGAAATATTATGTATTCTTCCAAGTCTTTCTTTTGGCAGGGAGAGGAGGAACCTTTAGGCCTGTCTCCTGGGTAATTCTCAATTAAGTCCATGTACTTGCCTGCATCCTTCTGCAGTTTTAATTTTTGTTTTCTATATGGATGTGGTATGACCAGTTCTCTGCTTGGCTTTCACTTTTGGAGGTGGTGCAGTTAAGTGACTTCTTGGTCCAGGGCTTTTTCTTTACAAGGGGCTCAACCTGTAATTTGAATGGTGGGCAAAATCAGGCTCAGAGCCCACAAAGGGTGTTGGGATCACTGTGGTTGGAGGGCACCACAGATCTGACTTTCAGACTTGCTGAGCAGATGTAGTTCCATCCCAAATCAATCGGAGGTGTCGGTATTCAGCGTCTCTGAAAGTCGGCCCTTTACAGCCAGTCTACTGCAGGCGACAGAAGTATGTCCACAGAGGGGGATGCTCTGCGGCAT